CGACTTGCGAACTCGCCTCGACTTACGAACCGGATCCGCGGCCATTTTCCGCCCGTTCCACATGGTCCATGGCCATTTTTCCGCCCGTGCCACATGGTCTGCGGCCATTTTCCGCCCATTCCACGTGGTCCGCGGCCATTTTTCTGCCCATTCCACGTGGTCCGCGGCCATTTTTCCGCCCCTGATGCGTGGTCCGCGGACGCCAGAACGGATTAACGGTAATTACATTGAACCTTATGGGAAAATGTGCCTCGTGTTGCAACCAATTCGAGTTGCAACCAGAGTCACGGAACGGATTAAATTCGAGGTTCCACTGTATAATGAATTGGGCAGCATGCAAGCTTATGAACTATGTCCTGTGTGATTTCCTTAACGACCAAGTGATTCATTTAGGAGCACAGTGATTTGCTTAATGACCGCTGCAAAAAAGGTCATAAAATCGGGCGTGACTCACTTAACAACTGCCTCACTTAACAATGAATTTTCCGGCCCCTATTGTCATCGTTAAATGAGGTCTACCTGTACGTGCCATTAAGTTCCATGGGACGTTCTCCTAGTTCAGTGGGCATAACATTGCCATTTTAGCTCTTTTTTCCCAGTTCCCATCGCCTTACATTTTTGTCTATTTTCAGACAAAAATAAAGTCACGGGTTTATTTCTGAATTTGGTACCTTCAGACATTAGATGTGTATGATGGCAGTTTCACTAAACAGTGTAGTCATTTTTGACTTAGTGGGAGATTGAATCCAGCTTTTTTCTTTTTTCTTTTGGTAAATCACAGTTTCTAGCTTAATGCATTACATAGCCCCAGCCTATCGTGATTTGTTCAATAAAAGATGATGAAGGCCAAGTGTTGTGCAAACCTGGTCTCCAGCACTCATCGTGCTGCGTGACAAGATGGTTATTTTTGCAGTGCAAATCCAGAATCAAAGGCAACATCACCAAAAAGGTGCAGACCTTGGCAGAATGTCCTTATCACTGATTCTGTGGATGATAATGGATTACTAGTGACCAACATTAACCAAACTCAGGATTTAATGGTAAGTTAATCTTTCTGTTAATGATCAATAGAAGTACATGTAGGCTGTACTATATGGGGAAACTAGAAACTGGTTTAGGGAGACGCACATGTGCACTCTCAAACTGTACTCTAACTGTAGTTAGAGAGGACAGACTTAGCTTGCATTTAAATGTGAATTTATCCAATTTCACATTTTGTGCAAACCGAAACTCCGTTATTAGCGGAAATTCCCACCTCCGATCTCACTGTGCTTTTGACCAATTAAAAAAAAAAAAAGATTTATGGTGAGAAAAATGTAGACATTTCTAAAAATAATATAGAAAAATGCAGTATAGGGAGAGAAAGGATCACAAAAAAAAACAGCGTCCGGTAGGCCAGATGCCAAAACGCATGTTTCATGTCCAAAAATACAATACACGATTTAGTGTAAACCTTAAAAACAAAACCAAAAAACTGAAGCTAGTACAGGATGACCCAAACTTACACTTAGAGAAATGAGGATGGACAGAAACTAAAATGAGAAATGTCCTTGCTTAGGATAGATTTACGGAAGAAGACTGAAATATTTCATCCTCATACATTTCATGCAGGCTCTGAAAAACTGATTCTGGAAGTTTGGATCAATCACTGTAGGAAGCTGTGGGCTTGACCATCAGAGATGAATTCTTATTGATTCATGAATGTTCATCTCCATACAGTCCCACAATTGAAATCACAATTGATGCTTTCCTACACTGCCCTGGAAATCATAAAAACGTTGTGGGCTTATTCTTGCCTTGACTCTTGTTCCTGATTTGTCCACAGCGACTCAAGAACTCAGAGGTGCTGTTTGCTAATTTAAAAGCCACCGACGACTGGATTCAGGTCTACAGCTTGGAAAACATGCAACTCTCGCTTGGGGATTTGATAAAGAAAGGCAATGCTACAAAGTAAGTCTGAGGCTGTCTCGTTTTCAGTTGCTTGGGTCTCCTCTTCGTTCACCGTGGGATGTTTTCTTTTAGGGTTTCAAGCAATGCGGTGGAGCACATGGAGTTTACCCAAGAGGCTGTCAACAATTTTGAATCTCAGTTGAGAATGTGAGTACCCAGCCATATGTTGCTCACCTGTGATGGAATGGAATTATGAAGGCCAGGCTCAGGGAGATAAACATTTTCTTAGCTCACCAGAACAGCGTGGGAGGAACTAGAGGATGAGACTGGCACTTCCCTGAGGAATTCACACTGTTGTGGCTGGAGGAC